CGCGCCACAGCAGGGAAGGGGAATTTAGGAAAGGACATGCACGTGTCACCGGCGATCGCTCCGAGGGTCGACCAGACCGCTTACATGAAAAGCGCACAAACAGCCCAACCGCCGTTGGAACAACAGCTACAGCAACTGCAGCTGCAGATGCAGCTGCAAAAAGAACAAACGCAGTCGTAGCTGACTCAGCAACTTCAGCAATTTCAAAGCCAACTTCCCGAGGTGAAGAGTGCTCTCAGGGAGAAACTAGAGCCACACCAACAAAATCAAGAAAAAAACATACAATAGGCCTCCGTTCTCATCCGGAAGCGACAGAGTCCAATCATGTATAATTGCCAGAACCACTAAGGGAAACACAGAAAGACAAGAAATTTGGCAGTGGAACTGCCGCGGATTCCGCAAGAACCAAAGCACCCTTCGGCAATGTATGCAGACGACCCTTGTCATGCCTGATATCGTAGCACTGCAGGAGACTGGTTACTCTCACAGCTTAACAGGGTATAACGCATTCTTGAGCCAGACAGGGGGAAAAGCGACGCCTTGGTATCCAAAGCGATACTGGCAATCCAACAACTGGCACTGGACACTGACATCGAGCACGTGTTAACCCAGATAATACCGCACAAGAGAGGTAAGGGGAGCATGTTCATTCTGAACGTGTACAGCCCACCTAGGCAAAGGAACCCTGATTTCGAGCCACTAATAAAAGCAGCGAGCAAGTTAGCCAAGAAAAACAGCTTGGTGGTATTAGGAGACTTGAACGCGCAACACAAAAGCTGGGAAATGTAAAAGCAAACAAGCAAAGGGAAAAATTGGGCTCAATTGTCAGCACACGCAAGCCTCGAATTCGTCACGGACTTCACAAAGCCGAGCAGAATGGGGAACAGTGTTAGCAAAGATATGTGCCCAGACCTCACATTTGTTAAAAACACCCATGACGTATATTGGGAAAACGCTAAAAATAACCTTGGCAGCGACCACTTTATTCTTTGGATGTTCGCCACCACAAAAGTGCGAAGAAAACTCGGCCAGGCGAAAATAACAAACTGGAATGCCTTTAGACAAGACTGCGAAGTGGAACCGATTCAAGCGATTGCCGAATGGAGTAAAAAGGGTTCCACGAGGCGTACGAAAGGGCAACAAAGGTAATGTAAAGAACGGACACCACTCCTGAAGTTGACATTTACCTTCTACAGCGGTGGGAAGCTCGTAGAAGCATGACCAAGAGAGGGAGGAGACAGAAAGGCAACAGAAAACTGAAACGAAAAATTGCTGCGCTAACGGCCGAAGCAGAGCAATGCGCGCAAGAGCTCTCAAAGCAAAGCTGGAATAAATTCTGTGACTCGCTCAAGGGCACGCTAGGGACTGCCAAAACTTGGGCGCTGCTGAGAAACATGATCGATCGAGCCAGGTTCAAAACACAAAATAACAAGACGCTACACAAAATCGCCACACAACTTCCAAGGTAATGATGTGGAGCTACTAGGTAAGATCAGGGAACGATACATTGGGTCTGGGAACATTGATGCCTGCACGGACCCCTATCGAGGTGCCGAAAACGAAAAACTCGGAGCGCCCCATTACGCAAGAAGAGGTGTACATGGCAGTCAGAATGGCCGTCAAGAACACAGCACCCACAGCAGACAAGATCGGCAATGCAATATTAAGAAACCTGGGGCCAGGACATAGCGAATCTATCACGGAATTCTAAAACAAGCATTGGGAAGCGGAGACCGTTCCAATGGAGTGGCGACAGCGCAGATGATCACCATCCCAAAGCCAGGCCAAAAGCCGAGCTTAGAAAACCTACGACCTATTTCACTGAATTCGTGTTTAGAGAAAATATATGAACGAATAATCACGATCCGGCTGCAAAACTACGTGGAAGATAACGACCGCATGCCTCACACGATTTTGGGTTCCGTCCAAAGCTATCAACGAAAGATGTCTTACTTCTCATCAAAGAAGAAGTTCTCAGCAACGTCCCTAAGTATGGAGAACATGTATTACTGGCTCTTGACCTCAAAGGTGCCTTTGACGTCAGGCATAATGCCATACTATCGGCAATAACCAACTTGAATTGCGGGAAAAAATGCGCGGCTACGTGAAGGCCTTCCTCACTGATAGGATTGCGATAGGGATGGGCGACTTGTGGTCAGACACGTTCAGGCTACCCAACAAGGGCACACCACAAGGGTCCGTGATCTCACCTCTTCTGTTCAACATTGCAACGGTCGAGCTGGCAGAGAAACTGAATGCTATAGATGGCATCCGGCATCCAATGTACGCCGATGACATCACCATATGGACAACGGAGGGCTTGCTGGGAGTCAAAGAAGAGAGACTACAGGTTGCTGCCAATTGTGTGGAAGAGTACGCAAAAGCAAAAGAACTGTCATGTTCACCTGAAAAGTCGGAAATACTTAGGGTGCGTAGGCCCAGACAAAATGATGAGGTCGACTTTACAGTCACGCTGGCCGGGGTCCGCCTACCGGAAGTACAGACATTAAGGCTTCTGGGAACGTGGATTCAATCTAACCAGAGGGCGGTCCACACAATCAGACTGCTGTCTGGATCCGAGGCCTAGATAACGAGAATGATCACGTGCATAACAAACAGAAGAAACGGCCTCAAGGAAGATGACATCCTCAAGCTTGTAAAAGCACTTGTGGTGAGTAGAACCACCTACAGCCTCCCCTACCAGCATATAAACCAAAGAGAAAAGGAGCAAGTTGAAGCAATCCTAAGGATGGCTCACAAGATAGCCTTACGTCTGCCTAAGGCCACAAAATTAACAGAACTCGGCATAGCAAATACCTACGACGAGCACAGGGAGGCGCAGCTTGCCTTTCAGAAGACTAGACTACGCACAGCGCACTCTTCAGAGATTAGGCTTCCAAGATAGTGTTATGTTTCGATGTGTCGTGATTGTGAGAATGGGGTGCGACAGAAATGAGTGACGACGAACGCCATGTTGTGCGAGCGAGAACTGGCCTACTCTGTGATGGGAGTGGCGTTTATTGAGCAAGTTGAATCAAGTTGTAGGGGGGCGCTAGTGACTACATAACACGCCGCCACACATGAACAAAACAAAAATGAGAAAATGAAAGAAAAATTGAAATGAAACAGATGGAATCTTGAAGGGATTCTCTCTGGCCTTTCCGAGCGTGTCTTTTTAGGAAAAGGTTGCGGTGGCACCATTCGGATGCCTGAAGGACGGTCAGGGAGAGAAGAGTGGCAGCTTGGGCTAGTTGGTATGGCATGACGATAGTTATAGCGCGAGAACAAAACGACGACACAGAGACAAGAAGGACACTAAAGACACTTCTTGTCTCTGTGTCGTCGTTTTGTTCTCGCGCTATAACTATCGTCAGGTAGAGAACTCAGGTGTGAAGTGTGGTGGGGCACATTTTCTTCGATTGTTTGAAGAGGATAGTAGTCTTCAGGTGTTGACAGGGGGTCACTTGGGGAGTGCCGCACTCGCAAATGATGTCGGTTGCGCATATAAACTTGACCATTGGCTGCTGTAACGGTGTATCTCCGTGGCTCTGGGCCTCCCTGTGTTACGACTGCTTTCTCCCATTTCTTTCCCTGCCAAAACCACACTGCCGTATTCTTGGTTAAGGAGGGAAGCTGATGAGCATGCTGGTCTGCATGCATATGCTGTGCCTGCTGCCTTGACTGAAGGTTTCTTTGGAGCACCGAGTGTGGATAGTGCGGTAACAACATGCTGGGATGAGCTGGTATAAGCGTTGTTATCCTTCTTCCTATAAGCATCTCTGCCGGAGAAAGAAGGCCATTCATCGGAGTTGCTCTGTGGTTCAATAGCACCACTGCGAGCTCCTTGCCTTCAGACAGTGCTTTTGTCATTGATGTCCTAATGGTTTGGATTGTTCTTTCCACTTGCCCATTTGCACGAGAAAAAAAAGAGGTGATATGCGCTTGTGAGCGATGTCCCATTCCTTGTTGAAGTTTCTAAAGTCGGCTGAATTAAATGGAGGACCTTGATCACTCACGACCTCTGAGGGTATACCGAAACGCGCATAGATATCCTTTAGCACTGTGATGACTGATGAGGCTGATGTTGGACGCATTTTCTTGACCTCGACGTACTTAGCGTAATAATCCACTAGAAGCAAGTATGTCACGCCATTGTGGTGGAAGAAGTCCGCAGCCACTTTTTCCTAAGGTCGTGCAGGTAGTTCTCTGTCGAGGAGTGGCTCTCGTTGGTTAGCCCGCTGACGGCGCTGGCAGACCTCACAGTTAGTTATCATCTGCTCAATGTCCTGGCTTATTCCAGGCCAGTAGACACTCTGGCGAGCTGTGTTGTTACAAGATACAATGCCTCGGTGTGTGAGGTGGAGCCTTCAGAGCACTTCTTTTTGACATGCCCTTGGCACAACAAGTCGTTCACCATAACACAAAAAGCCATCGGTTACATAAAGTTCACCTCTGATTGAGTAGTAGGGCTTCACTGCTGTGGGAACTTTTGAGATCTTGTAGGGCCTGCCTTTCTGAATGTACGACGCTACACACTGGAGTGTGCTATCAGCAGCTGTGCAGGTTCTTATCTCTGCTAGCTTCGGAGTTGACGCTTGCACCAATGTATAGGCTAGAACCTGATGCTCCTGGTCTGATGTCTTGATTGTCTCTGCTGGATCAGGTGCACGAGACAGGGTGTCTGAACAGTCAAATGTTTACCTGGAAAATACACCAACTTCACGCTGTAGCGTTGGAGTCTAAGTAGTACGCGTTGTAGCCTGGTTGAGACCTTGTGGAAGTCCTTAGACTGAAGACCAATAAGAGGTTTGTGGTCAGTCTCAATGACAATGCTGCAACCACAGATATAATAGTGGAACTGTTCACAGGCAAATACTACAGCTAACAGTTCTTTCTCAATTTGCGCATAGCGCTGCTGTGCTGGTGTGAGTGCTGCGGATGCATAGGCAACTGGATGTCCGTGCTGAAGGAGGACACTGCCCATTCCATAGGAGCTTGCGTCAGTGGATATGACAATAGACTGCCGGGTCAAAGTAGTGCAAGACTGGTGCTGTTGTCAGTTTGCTCTTGATGTCATTGAATGCATCGGTCATCTTTTGCATCCAGTGCCATGCAACATCAGATTTGAGAAGTTCTTGAAGGGGCTGTGTCTTCGCAGAAAAATTTGGGACAAACTTCATTAGGTAAGTCGCCATGCCGAGGAAGCGAAGAAGCTCTGCTTTGCAGGTTGGGGCTGGTATAGCATTGATAGCCTTCACTTTGCTGGGATCAGGAGTGACGCCTTGTTGTGTCAACTGATGTCCTAGGTAGGTGACTGTTGGCAAACCCAGCTTGACCTTGTTATAATTCAGCTTGAGGTTGTTAGCTCGTGCTGTGCTGAGCACTTTACGCAAGTGAACAACATGTTCATCTGGTGTTTTGGATGCAACCAAAATGTCGTCAAAGTATGGAGTTACAACAGCTTGATGTTCAAAGATACCGTCATTGGCTGCTGAAAGAGTTCAGGGGCAATGTTGAGGCCAAATGGTACAAGGAGGAACATATAGCGTCCCCATGGTGTGGCAAAAGTACACAAGTAGGAACTGCTCTCGTCAAGCGCTAGCTGCCAAAATGCATTCTTGGCACCCAGAACTGAAAATACAGTACACCCACTGAGTCATGCAAAGAGTTCTTCAGCAACAGGAATGCGATAGTGGTGTCGCTTAACTGCCGAATTCAAGTTCCTGGGGTGTAGACATATTCGCACACTTCTGTCTTTTTTAGTAATAATAACAATAGGATGCACCCAGTCCGTCGGTTCTGTTACACGCTTGATAATAGAATTTTGTTCCATACGTTCAAGTTCGGCTTTGACTGTCTTTTCAAGTGAACATGGCACACAACGAGGGGCTGCAACTGTAGGCTTTGCATCCTGCTGTAAGTGAATGCTGTACTCTCCTGGGAGTCTGCCAATGCCTTCGAATACGTCAGAAAATTCTTGAAGTACTGCTTCAAGCTGCCGAGGAGGACAAGCCTCTCCTACTGCTTCAACGTTCTTAACTCTGTGCACCAAACTTAGTTCTGTGCATGCAGCTGCTCCCAATATTGGCTTGAGACTTCCTTTAACCAGCAAAAATTTGACAAAGCTTTGCTTGTTTTTAAACGAGCAAGAGAGTTGATATTCGTTTTGAATGTTGAGCTGCTTGCCTAGGTACGTGGTGACCTTGGCATTCGTAGCTTTCACTGTTGATTGCGGGTTCCAGTTTAGTACTAGCTGCTCTGAGAGAATGTTGACATCTGAACTCGTGTCCAATTTAAAGTTAACGAGACGACCATTCACTTCGACACACTCGAACCTGTCAGACGATGCACTTTCCACGATGTCCACTGTGAGGTTTTCTAAAAATAATTCCTGTTCGGGGTCGTCCCCTTGGTCGGAGAAAACGTGAACTTTTTTCTGTATTGTCCGTTCTTTCTGACGGCTAACAGTCGTGAAGTGTCCGAACTTTCCACAGTTGTAACATGTTGAGCCGTAGGCGGGACATTGTCGGGGTTGATGCACCGTTCCGCACCCGGCGCACGTACGCTGAGCTGCTGTTTCTGTGGGCTGCCCATTCTTTAGATGATACGCTGGTTGCCTTCTCGTGTGATGCTTGTCAAGCTGTCGAAATTGCTTGCCTTTTTGCTCAATCTGGCCACAGTTGCTTCTTGTTCATGCGAAGTTGTTGCTAGTGAGGTCACATGCTGCTTTGAAATTTCTGCCGATCTGCACGTAGCGATGATTTTCTCCAGTGTCAAGTCTTTCTCATGGACCAACCTTTCTCGAAGCACTGTGTCTCGGAAGCCGACCATGATCCTGTCGCCTAGGAGGCAGTCATGCTTGTCACCGAAGTCACACATTACCGCTTGATGCTGAAGTTCAGCAATGAAGTCATCAATCGGCTGGTTCTCTTTCTGGCACATGGTGTTGAATATGGCTGTCGCTTGCGTCACGTTTTTGTAGGGAAGGCATATTTCGTCGAATCGCTCAGATATTGCTGCCACCGTGTTGGTTCTCTGCTCACCTTCGGCTGGCGACGGAAAACGGAAGGTTTCAACGATTTTCCACGCTATTGGGCCCATGTCGTGAAGTAGCAGTGCTCGCCGTGTTGCTTCTGGCTTTGTGTTGTATTCGCAGGCTGCTTCGTAAAGCTGATACGCCGATTTCCATTCCGACCAAGCTTCCGCGGGATTGCTGCCCGGCTCGAACTGCTTTGGTGGTGAGATAAGTGGAAGGGCCATGCTTACTATCGTTGTGTTAGTTCCATTCTGACACTATGTTATGTTTCGATGTGTCGTGATTATGAGAATGGGGCGCGACAGAAATGAGTGACGACGAACGCCATGTAATGCGAGCGAGAACTGGCCTACTCTGTGATGGGAGTGGCGTTTATTGAGCAAGTTGAATCAAGTTGTAGGGGGGCGCTAGTGACTAAATAACAGATAGTATACGAGAACTAGATCGCACGGTAGACATACCGGATAAGATCAGATATACGTTCAAGGTCACTCCTATTCCTAAGCGCATGCACCCTACGGATCACCAGGGCAGGCGTAGGGCCAGGGCGCAGAGCATTACCAAAACCTATCAGAACAGAAAAAAACGTCCTCTATGTTGATGCTGCTACATAGATGAACGGTAAATACGCTGTGGTGACGATGATCGACGCTCAACTAAAGGAGAAGGTCAGCGCATCGCTGAATAATTGCACTGTGTTAGATGCCGAGGAGGCCGCCGTCGCACTAGTGGTCGCCGAAGGCAACAGATCAGGGCAATCGCTTGTAATAATCATGCACTCTCAGGACGCCTGTCGGAGATACACAAATGATAGGGGAGGCAGAAAAGCCGCCAAAATTTTAAACACCAGCGGTATGAACAAGGAAAAACACCAAATAATATGGGCCCCAGGGCATGAGGGTATTGCCGGTAGTGTTCAGGCCGATCTCATATCCCGAGGATACACTACCCGAGAGAGATTGATGACCGGGAGCGTCGAGGCGGTAGCCTGCACTTACAGGGAAATTCTGCAGCATTTCAAAGAAACAAGAAGGCGATATCCTCCGCCCCACTGGAAATCGAACAGGGAGCAGTCAGTATTCTGGTGGCAGCTACAAATTCATACCCATGCTTACACATTCACAGTAAAATACACCCAACACAATGCAGAGACATGTGTCCCTCGTGTGGCGAGAAACCCACAGTATACCACACAACATGTGGATGCCAAAATATAACGGCAGTACTCGTTATACACAACACCACACCGGAGCAGTGGAAGACTGCGCTGTCCAGGTGGGAAGCGGGCAACCAGATCTGGCTGGTCCCATCCACAAGCGTTCTGCAGAACAGCGCTTGGCAGAACCGCTCCAGAGCAATTTATTTATTTATTTATTTATTTATTTATTTATTTATTTATTTATTTATTTATTTATTTATTTATTTATTTAGTGAATACTGCCGACTTCTATGCGAAGTCGTAGGCAGGAGTGGGTGACAGATACACTTGATTGGACATTTTCCAGGGCAAGAAAACAACAGAAGCTTAAAACAGAAAAAAAAATATGTCGGGGGGATATATAGAAGAAAAACAGGGATTTACAAACACTGAAGTCAATGCAGCTCTTCAGAATGAGCAAGTTTTGTTGACAAAAAAAAAGGCGAGAAAAACACATATCGACACAATCGACGAAGCGTGATACAATTGAGCTAGTGCTGAACATAGGAAAGTAATACAACTCAGACACACACGGGAGAGATTAAATGCGGTGATAATGAAATAAAAAGAAAGAAAGAAAAAAAATTCAAAGGATAGCTGGCAGATTTGCTATCGCATTCATGAATGAGGTGACAGTTGTGGATGAAACAGCTTCATCGGGCAGGGCATTCCAACTACGTGCTGCTCGGGGAAAAAATGATTTTTGGAAAGCAGTGATTCTGCATGAAAATTCCTGGACTTTCTTGATGTGGTGTGACCGGGGTATACGTGATTTAGACGGTAGAATATATTTAGTTTTATCGATTCCAAGGTTGCTGTGATAGATCTGATAAAACAGTTTCAGTCTTTCATGGGAGCCCCTGCGTTCTAAGGGTTCCAAGTCCGAACTATCAAGGAGGGTCAAGGGCGATGTGTTTCTTCTATAAGCGTTGTAAATAAACCTTATGGATTTTCTTTGTACACGTTCCAGTTTTTTAATGTTTGCCGATGTATGAGGTTCCCACACAGGAGACGCGTATTCCAGTATGGGTCTCACGTAAATTTTGTACGCCAACATTCTAATTTCTTTGGTAGATTTTCCAATGGTTCTGCGTAAGTACCCAAGTGCCTTCATTGCCTTTTTTTGTGTGTACTCTATGGGCTCGTTCCACTTTAGGTCGGAGGTAATTATAACCCCTAAGTATTTGTAGCTGTTAACTAGAGATATACAGTTACTGTTGATGCAATAGGTGAAAAGAAAGGAACTTTTTTGCGGGTAACTCTAATAGTGACGGTCTTTTTTAGGCTAATGCTCATCTGCCAAGTTGAACACCAAGAAGTGTATCTTATCCAGGGATTTGTTTAGGGTGATCTCGTCGTTGGGGTCATTGATGACGTGGTACAGGATGCAGTCGTCTGCAAAACGCCTTATTTTAATGGGTATGTCACAGACTATATCAATAATAAATACTAAAAACAGAAGCGGGCCAAGGATGGAGCCTTGTGGTATACCAGATTGAACTGAAGTGGGGGTGGAGCTTGAGCCATCTACAGAGACACTTTGGTATCTATGGGAAAGGTATGCCCGAATCCATGTTAGTAAAGAATCGTTTTTCAGGATCGGTTTTAATTTTATAAGCAACTTGTGATGGGAGACTTGGTCGAATGCTTTTTCGAAATCAAGGAATATAATGGCAATTTGACTATGGCTATCTAGAGCACTAGTGAGGTCGTGAACTGTCTCAAGTAGTTGTGTGGTAGTCGATAGTCCTTTGCGAAAACCGTGTTGCCGGAGGTCAATTATGTTGTTTCTGTCAACGAAGGCGGAGATGTGTTTAAATACTATGTGTTCAAGCAATTTTGCACATGTACATAACAAAGAAATAGGCCTGTATGATGACACAAGTGACTTGTTTTCAGATTTAGGTATAGGAATGATTTTTTCGTATTTCCATTCACTTGGGACTTCGCCACTAGACAATCATTTGGAGAATATAAGTGTTAGATATTTGGAGCACCATTCCGCATAACGAACAAGAAATTCATTGGGTATAGCATCACTTCCGGGTGATTTTTTTGTATCAATGTTCAGCACCAACGACAACACACCTTCTTCAGAAACGCTAATGTTGTCTAAGCGATCTATGTCGTCTAATGATGAAAAAGGAGGGGCGATTCCGTTATCGTTTGTCAACACCGAACTGAAGTAGTCAATCAACGCCTCTGCGATTTCCGCACCGTCGACTACGTTTGTATCGTTTATGGAAAGACTGATCGAAGTTTTATTTTTTGGTGCGATATGATGCCAGAATTTCCCAGGCGATGAAAGAAGAAAGTTTGTTAAGGACACTTTCTGATAGTGGTTTTTGGCTTCTGAGATTATGTTTTTGAGTTGCACGCGCAGTGTTAGCATATTATCTGTGCTGTTCTTTGAGGGGCGTCGTTTGTGCTGTTTTCTAGCTTTATTCAGCTTACGACCTAACCGGATAATATCTTTTGTTGTCCTGGGATTAGAATTTCGCAGTACTTTATCTTTGCATGGAACGAAGTTTTGTATGCACTTGAACACTAACTCTTTAAAAAAGCGCCATAGGTTATCTACTGAATGTTCAGCAGATTCATAAAGAGAAGTAAACTCAGAAAAGCTGTTGCCCATAGCATCCAAAATGTCAACGTCACTGGCACGAGAAAAAATGAGAATCTTCCTTTTTTTGGACCGTGTGTCTTGCCGCAAAATCTATTTTCATAATTAGGGACACCATTTTATGGTCAGATTAGCCCTGAAGTACCTGAACCTGTGGGTTGCGACGCACAATGCTGCTGTCAACAAGAAAGAGGTCCAGGACTGACTTGCTGTTTCGTTGAGTTCGAGTAGGCTCCTTCACTAGTTGCGTGAAATTGTGAAACAAAACAAGGTCAGCAAGTGGCTCGGAAGCTCTGCAAAGTGGATCCGGAAAATCTTGAGCCCAGTTCATCAGAGGCATATTGAAGTCGCTGGCCAGTAGCAAATCGCATGCGTGATTTCTAAATTGACACAAAAATTAAAGTTTATTCTCTCTCTCTTTTCACCTGTTTCTCTCTCTGCCGTCTGTCCTGTGTTCTTGCCCTGCTCGAAGACTGCCCCGCCACCGAGCTGTATGTTCTCGGAGCCTCCGTGCTGTGGCCAGACACTGCGGCCCCCTGACCTCCCTTCTCGCCTGTTCCTTCCCGCCTGTCGCCTTCTCCGCTACCCACGCCTTCCGTCTCACACCGCTCGGGGCAGGGGCAAAGCGCCATTAGCTCCTTTACCCACTGCTTGAGCTCGGTCCACCCCGTTCTTTTCGAAGGTCGCCCTTCATTTGCTGTAATAGGCTGGCGGCAGCCTTCTCCCGCGACGCTCCGAGCTGTTTTCGCAGTTCTGTCCTATGCTCCCGTTCCACCCTAAGCTCCCCCTGAAGCCCCTCGATGCTAGCCTCCATGCGCTGCACGGCCGCCTTCAGTGCCTCACACAGCCTGCACATGAAGCTCGCCTTCTGCGCGTCAGCCGAACTCTAAAATTCTATCTCGTCCAAGTAGCACCAGCGCTTGCATTCTTCGCACTGCACCAGCTCACTCTCGCCCGTAGTTTTCCTAGTCTTCTTAGCCACCGCCCGCCCGACCATCGGACCGAGCGCCCGACAGCCCTAAGTTCAACTCTAATCCCGCTATCCAGCCGCCTCCTCTAACTCTCCTACCTCAACAACTGCTTGA